AAATTTTAAAAATCCCTATATTTTTGTAGAAATTTAGGGTAAATATAGATAAATATTTTAAAGAGACTTGCTTAGAGGTATACCTGAATATATTCAAAACTGGTAATTTTATTAAATTTTTTATAGTAAATAATATTATTATACAGGGTGTTTCAAAAAGGTATGTCATAAAATCTTTCTTAGATAGATTACCAAAAAATAAGTGGATTTGGCTATATTTGCCTATATCAAAAACTGGCTCCTAACAAAGTTAAACTAACATTCAAAATAACGTGTTTTTTTTGTAAAAAGTCTGTTGCGATTTTTTCTTTGAATTTTTTGCCAGTGCTGTAGATTTGAAGGTCCAATATTCTAAGAAGAAAAAAATTAAAGGGACCACCTTAAAAGAATTTGGGGGGTTGGGTACCTTTTAACCCCCCCCCCCGTATTTTTTGACATAAAGAAACTTAAACTCAAAAAGAACTATGCATTTTTAAATTTTTTTTATAGCGAAATGAACTTTGTGTCTTTCTTAATTAACGAGCTATTTAGAATTTTTTAACTAAATTTCTAGAGCAATTCGTCCGTCCTGCACTTAACATATTAACAAAACTAAGAGTAGGTCGGGAGTTATTGTACAAAAAACGCATATAAAATATAGTGGTGTGTCTAGGGCTATGCTTGAGCCGCCCCTGCAAAAACTACCTCTTTTAATTACATTTTTGAATTCAAGAAGGAGGAGGACATGTTGAACATTCACTAAATTAAATAGTTTATAAAATATGTATAATAATTATTGTCAATTGTTTATTTTCAATTGTTAATTTTTTGTTAATTGTTTAATAAATAAAAAAATAATTTTTTTAATTACTATTAAATTTAATAAATACATTTCCAAACTAACGTGTATTTTTATCAGAGGCATGGTGAACCCATAAGGACGGCTGGCACACCATTTTTATGGCGCCAATCCAATAATATAAATACCTTTTTTATAAAAATATAAATAAAAGAGGTAGTTTTTGCAGGGCCTGTTCCAACACAGCCCTAGACACACAACTGATTTTTTTATGCGTTTTTTGTAAAATAACTCCTGACCTTTTCTTAGTTTTGTTGATATGTTAAATCCAGAGCGGACGACTTGCTCTAGAAATTCAGTTAAAAAATTGTAAATAGCTCGTTAACTAAGAAAGATACAAAGTTAATTTCAATATAAAAAAAAATTGAAAATGCATAGTTCTTTTTGATTTTAAGATCGATAAAGTAAGTTTCTTTATGTCAAAAAAAATACGGGTGGGTTAAAAGGTAGCCGACCCCCCAACATTTTTTAAAGGGATCGCTTTACATTTTTTTTTGCTAAGAATATTGGGCCTTCAAATCTAGAGCACTGGCAAAAATATAAAAAAAAAATCGCAACAGCAAACTTTTTACAAAAAAAAAAAACGTTTTTCTGAATGTTAGTTTAACGCCCTGTAACTTTGTTGGGAGCCAGTTTTTGATATAAGTAAATATAGTCAAAATGACTTATTTTTTGGTAATTTATCTGAGGAAGAATTTATGACATACCTTTTTGAAACACCCTGTATATATATTTATTTTAATAGGACTTTTTCATGGGAGTAATAACAAGTTCAAGAACTTTTTGAGTCCCGGAACTTGTCATTATTCCAACGAAAAATTATTTGTAATCATAAATATATACATAGTGTCTGCTACTTATTGGTACACAGCAGATTCTCTGGGTTAAAAAAATATTGCGATTTAACCAAACTTACTTTTGTAGAAAAGTTGATAATAACCAAAATACATGGTGAAATTTAATATTTCATCAACAGGGTGACATACAGGCACGAAATTATAAATTAAGGGTTTTTGGAGGAGATATTTTCAAATTTGTTTTTAGTATGGATGCCACTTGTGGAGAGAGCCACTTACGGTAAATGAAATATCTTTAAAATGACCAAACTTTTTTATGTCATGATGTACTAGCCTAAATGTTAAATATTATGTATTTTAAACCTTTTTTACGAAAAAAAGGTATACTTTGAAAATGTCGCTCCGAGTGATCATTTTCCAGTTATCTGCGGTTCAAATATTCAGTACACCTTTTCAAATTCCCAAATGAAAAATTTTTGATTGAAGTAGGCTGTCAATAAATCATGATATAAAAATGTGAATGCTGTGGAACGGTGTCAAGACGAACGGTTTCGAGACAATCGGTTATTATTTAAGATAAGAAGGTCGTCTAGCAAATGAGTTGTCAAATGTAATGAAATTAATGAAAATCTCTTAGAACATATATTAAATGTTTCTGTTTCAGTATTGTTGTTTTCCCATTGTTATTATTATTCTAAGCATGTGCTTCAATAAAAATTTTAGATTTTTAGAAAATTTGAGAAGGTGTCCTGAATAATTGATAAACAGGTATCTAGAAAACGGTCACTCGGAGCGACATTTTCAAACTATACCTTCTTTCGTGTAAAAAGCTGGTAATTACATAATATTTAACATTAAGGCTAATACACCGTGACATTTCTCACATCTCTCGCCTCCAAAAACCGTTAAATTCAAATTCATAATTTCGTGCCGGTAAGTTGATAAAATATTAAGAAAAAACGAAATGAAAACTACAACTATTTCGGTTATCAACTTTTAAATTAAAGTAAATTTGGTTAAATTGCTATATGTTTACCCAAAGGATCTGCAGTTTAGCTGTGTACCATTAATTATCGGACACCCTATATATTATTTTACGGATATAGGGATTTTTTTCTCCATATGACATTAAATGTTACTTTTAGTGCCATTTTTCGATCTTAGAAGTAACACTTTTACTGCCTAGGCATTAAACATTTATTTTTCTTCATTTCTCTTTTAACGTCTTGTTCTGCATGAGTGTCCGGCCAAAAGAAAATTAAAAATTACCTACAAAGTTACTATATGTATATTTGTATAAGAATTGAAAGTATATAGTTATAAAAACAACGATTAGAAAAATAATAAAAATGCGTGAGTTATATTCACTGTACTTAAAAGAGATGTTAATTAGTCATTTTTAATACACACTGTATAATCAGGCTAGTTTAATTTCCTAGGCTTCGCCCCGGCAATGTAATGCTAACCACGGCGGTAAATCTGTAATTCCTCTACCTAGTTAAATAAATAACTATGTTACTTCCATTTTAAATAAATTTTTGTCTTTTTTCGAAAAGGATCATCAAATCTGTTTTTTTTTTTTTAAAATAGACAGAATTTGACAAAATCTATCTAAAATAATAAGCAGTAATTAATTTGTGTCGCTTAAAAAATTGAAAATTTGCTTTAACAAACGGCGAGTGCAATTTAAATATGAACAGTATCTACATTTTAAGGCATCTTCAGAATAATTGTATTCATAAGTGCAGAACCCTGTTGAAATGAATTTAACCTTTTTGAAAGATTCAAATTCCTTTAGATGTCGACATTTCGCCAACAAACTTTTTTCTCTTATATGTATCACAATATTTATAAATAAAATAATTAGTTATATCTTCATGAACCTAAATTCCAAATTTCACATCTTTTTCACATTTTCTGTGTTTAAGATAAATTTATTTAAAAAAATGCATCTCCATCGGGATGAAATTTATAAAAAGCCTTTCATAGTGGAATGCATTAAAGAGTTATCAACAAAAAAAATTCTAAAGTAGGCCATGACCGGCAAAGACAGAAATACGAGTCATGTCCGTTATAACTGTAGTGGAATCGCAATCGACACGGAGTAATATATCTCTCAGATCAGGAAATTTCAGGTGTAGGTGCCTTTATTATTATTTACGGGGTACATAAAATCATCATTTAAAAATATATTTTTTTGAATATTATTGAGTAGGAATTATTTCGGTATGTAGCTACTTTACAAAATGTTTTTTGAATTATTTGCAATTATTATATAAATGGTAGAGTTATCTGTTTGAGTAAATTAACAACAAGATATATAGCAAATATTTTTTAAGACCTATAAATTACCCAATCGTGCGCTCATCAAAGTCTTAAAAGGAATTAAAATAAGGAGAGCCCATTGATACGTTCCACAAAAAAGGCGGTACAGGTAAAATTCTTGAAATCAACATACTGTATAACTGCTAACTGTATAAAATCACAGATTTTGTTTGAGCCACCTGTGCTGTAAAACACCCACAAAAATTTAATTTATTACTTCGTGTTGGTTGCGATTCTATTATACGCACAATCTGAAATAAATCCAAACTAACCCTTAAAAAAAAGAATTGTAAGTTTCGACATGCGTAAATTTTTCCAAGACCTACTTACTTTAGAATTAAACGTAATTAAATGAAACATAAACATAAATAACTGAAAAATCTTGTAGAGATTTTACGTTAAGAATTACAAACTTTAATCGCAATTCAAAATAACAAGTTTTTGCTACGCATTAAATTACTAATAAAGTATTACATTCTACAATACGTAACAGTTTTTATCCCGCTTACGGCGCTCAAATAGAAGAAAAGCAATGCATAGTAATATTGTTGGATTCTTCATAAATTTGTCTTTTTAATGATGTATCATGATAGATACTTTCCCTATTTAAATTAATACATATTATAGAAAATTTGCTAAAATAATGACTGACACGTTTTCGTCTGGCTACACTTTATGTTTCAAATAATAAATAACAAGTATATTATTTGTATATTTGATAAACGGTAAGTTCCAGGACACCCCCTCCGATTGATCGGCTATCCTTTATGTTTCAAATAATAACGAATATTTTATTTGTATATTTGACAAACGGTAAGTTCCAAGACATCCCCACTAATTGTTTTCACCATCTGACTTTATCCCGCGTTTTTATTGCCATTGTTTTCTTAGATGAAAGCTAGATTGGGCAAATAATGCATGTTTTGTGATTTGTGGCTTTAGTTTTAGAAATATTTTAAATATTAAATTGTAAGTATTTGCGATTTTTTATGTGAATAAAATTATTTCATGTTATGTAACCTTTTTGTAGAGATCTCAAGATGTTTGCCTTAGTGAGGTTTAATGATAATTCCGAAGGAATATACCCTATAAAAGCAATAACTAAAAATAATAATAGTGGATGTCTTGTAAAACATAAAGGAAGTAAATATGAAGCAATTATTTTAGAAACTAGTGGTAAGTGTACTAACTAAACAGTCTACAAAGTATTTAAATGAATAATTTAAAAGTACTTTAAAATTATAATCCACCATACAATTGTAATGTGGCTCTTTTAATTTTACATTTTTTTACACTATCCGATTTTTAGCCGCCTCTCAATTGTGTTTACCCTCCAAAATAAGCTTTAAAATGATCACTGCATAAATATTTATTATAAATACAATTTTTGATACACAGGGTACTAAAGTTGATTAATATTGATTCTCTCATTCACTCTCATTCATCACCCTCCAGCTCAGACCTCCCAACAGACCACTTGGCTTGTATATTCTACAGGGTGTCCCAAAAAAGTAGGCCAATCCATTAACCATAGATTCCTTAGGTCCGTGTGAGAAACCTCTATTCTTATTTTTTACGATTGGGACCATCATGTTCAATATAGAGGGTGACAAAGTTTATTTTAAAAAAATACGTTCTTTATTATATTTTCGCTGTTTTAATAAGTAGATGGCTTAAAATTGATACCCCAGGTTTTATGGGATGACAAATCATAATTTGAGCCTAAATATCATCTACCACATAGAGGGCGCTAGTTGCAAGGGGCTTATTACCTTTAACCCCCCTAAATTTTTGGTTCCAACTGAAAAAAGTAATAATAAAGGTTTCTTACACTGACCTAAGTAAACTATGCTTAACGGATTGGCCTACTTTTTGGGACACCCTGTATAAGGTATAAGAAGTTAATAGGAATTAATTTTTCCACCTATGAGGGTGAAAATGGTAGTTGATTTTTTAATATAACTACATCTAGATATCTCAAAAACCGAAGATGATAACAAAAATAAGTATTTTATTTATCCTCTTAAAATTACAGAAATACATCATTTTCCGAAAATACAGTTGAGGGTAATGAAAAGTGGTGGGAATGTTTTCTTTAATGAGTAACTTTAATATTTCGAAAATGTTATAAACAAAACAATTGTATTTAGAAACTCTTTTAAATTAATTGAAAAGTGTTCTGTCCTTTTCTAATTAGGGAGATGAATTTTTTTAACTTAAAAACTAAAGATATTAAAAACTTAAAAATTGGTATTTTAAGAATTCTTTAAAGATAAAAAAACTCGTTTTATATTCTGTTTTATTCTTTTTAATGTGTATCATTAGAATAGAAAAATACACATACGAGGTGGCCAAATATTAGAAATTTGAAGTTTTTTGCTTTTAATTACGTTAATATTTTAGATAACAAGAACGATCTCAACAAGGCAAGAGTATTTGTACAATTAACGCCTTTGTCTATTGAAAATATTAATGGTTCTTATTTACATGAATCTGATAATTTAATAAATGATTCAACAGAAAAAATTCCAATCGAAAGAGATTATGCTACCACTTTAACTGATTTTGGTGATTTTACCTTGGGCTCTGAATTAACAAGTATAAATACTAGTTCTAGTTTATTAGATAGTTTCATAGAAAATGTAGAAAATGAAGAAAGAATTGCAGCTTCTCCTTCAACTCCTACTGGTAAATCTATACATTTGTAATTGGAATAATTAATATAAAAATTATATTTTTTTTACACAAAAAAAACTTGAGAAATAACCTTATGCCTCATGTGTATGCGCAAAAAAATTGAATTTATAAAAAAATTCCTTTTTTTAAGGTGAAGGGGGAGAAAAAGTCCTTTATATCTCACAAGGAAAGTCAATGTTGAATCATTTAACAAAACATTGAGTGGATGGAGAGTATGGCGAGCCTGAAGATGAAGTGATGACACTTCGAAACCGATCGCACTCAATGTTTTGTTAAATAATTAAACATTGACTTTCCTTGTGAGATATAAAAGACTTTTTCTCCCCCTTCACCTTAAAATTACCTCAACTCACACATGGCTACCCCCCTTGTCAAAAAAATTCCTATTTGCCTGCACAAAAAAATAAGGTTATTAATTTCATTATTGACATTAACAAATATTGCATTTAAATGTTTTTTTTTTTAAATTGTATGATATTTTAATGTACAAAAATTTAGGCAATAAATAATACCATATATTCTGGAATCAAAAATAGGTTGCTTGCCTATACAGGGTGTCCCAGACTAATTCATCCACACTATATCACATTAACGAATAGAGATGTTTTATTGCAAAGGTACGCGGAATTTTCGAAGGGTTCTCTATCTTTATAAAATATTTTGGAGACAGCCACTTCCGGTTATAACGGAAGTGATCTCTAAACTTCTTTATTCTAAATGGACCACCCTGTATATTTTTACATTTATATATTCCACTCGATGAGCTGATGTCATCGATGTATTACACTTGATGTCGTCTATTATGTATACACGTTATTATTCCAGGCTATTATCCCCGAAATATTTACCTCTTAGTGACAACACCCAACCATAAAATTCTAAATGGCACACTGAATATATCTTAATATTTTTGGATGTAGATCTCCATCAATTACGCAAGGACTTTTTAAAAATTATAACCAGTTCATAAATACTGAAAAAAGTCCCTGCTTATTTTTTTTAATTTAAGATAAATATTTATAGAGGCCTATTCTGTAATGCCTTAGTTAATTTTAACTGTCAAATTAAAAGGTTATTTATAACTATGCCATTTAAATTTTAACCCAAGTTCCTACTTGGTATTCAAACAGTTTAACTTTTTATTAGTTATTTTATAACCAGCCCCGGTTAAAATAGACACGGCAACGATGTAATCCTACTATATATTAAGGTACCAATGTCTGTCTGTCCGTGCCGCGATCTCGGGATAAAGAAAGCCAGAACCTTATCGGACTCAGATATAAGCTAGGGACACTTAGAGAAGCAAAATGACACCAAAATCATGGTACCTACTTCTGTCGTTCCCGAGATATAGAATTCGGTCGAAAATTTAAATGAACGAAATCGCACTTAGAAAAGCAAAATGACACCAAAATCATGGTACCTAGTTTTGTGGTAATATAGTATTGAAACAAATGCTAGATCCACAGCCCCAAATACATGAACCCGGTCAAGAAGAACTTGCAGAACACTATTTAGATAAAAATTATGATATTGTCTGCTTACTTCCAAAATAAGATAAGTACATTTTTACCATTTTTGCGTTAAATGCATTTTCGTACCTAAATAACCATCTTAGGTTAAGTACAGAAAAAAAAATTGTTTTACTAGTTATACATTTGCTAATTATTATGTTTTTTATTTCTAGTAATAATTATGTTTATAGTACCACAATCTATGTTATTTTACAACTTATTAAATGTTTTCTTTTAGTGTAGGTTAAAACTTAAATTAAGTTTAATTTACTCAAAACTAATAAAATGTAACTTATCTTGTTTTGGCAGTAAGCCGACGATATATTTAATGACATTATATAATTATATACATTTTTCAAATTTCTTAAATTTTTAACTTGCAAAAATTTACTATTCAAATGGTACACGCGCCTTGTGTAACTTTTGAAATCTTCTCAAAATATGACGCTCGGTCCCCCGGTTCTATACTTAAAAGTGCATTTAAATTAAGCTCAACACAGCATTAAAAATAAGAATATTTGACATATAATTTTAATCAAAAAATACAGAATACAAAATTAAAAATAACATCGGGTTATTTTTATAACCTAATTTTAACCGAATTTTTACAGAATAGACCACATAGTCTAGATGAATTAGTCTGGGACACCTTGTATATGTACATATAATAGACATAAATTATTGAAATCAGCTTATAGAAAAGATATGAAACTGTACAGAGTGTTTCATTTAAAATAAAGGAGTTTGAAGCGGTAGTGGCTGACTATCCAAAATTTTAGATCGATAGAGTGCTCCGAAAATATTTCGTACTCAAATTTTCATCGAATATCTCTATTCGTTTATAAGGTATAGCCTGGACAAATTAGTCTGGGTAAACAAAGGTACTTACAAAAAAGTTATAGCCTTTTGAAGTTACAAATTAAAATTCAATTAAATCTGATAACTTTTCTTCTAAAATGCTTCACACTTTGCATACAAGAAAACGATGGGATATTGATTTTCAAAAATGTACTAAGGACCAAAAAAGTTTCAAAACGAATATTTTAAACCAATAGTAGCACAAAAATAACCTATTTCTAAAGTATACAGAAGCATGGGAGGGTCTAGAAGATCACAAAAAAAAATTATTATTGGGTGCACTGTTTTCGTAATTTTTTCTCGCAAAGTTACTGGTACTTTAAGAGGTCTACATGTTTATTTTCATGATATTCAATTTCTGAGTTAATAGTAACTTCAATTATTTTTCTTTGCACTACAGGATAATTAATAAGGATGGATAATATTTTACCTGCCAATCATATATTAACAATTTTTCGCTTAATAACTGAGAGTCAAAAATTAAAACTTATTGAGATACAGAGTGTTAAGGTTTTAAAGTAATTTAGCTTTTTATATACACAGACAAAAAGGTCTCCATAATTAGGTTTTTTGACGTGAGAAAATCGAATAAACTATTTTGTTTTTTTTTTTGTATCCTTACGTAAATTATCCGGTTTTTGACTCCAGAATATCTGAAGTTATTTATGACCTACATTTTTGTTCAATCCTGTAGAGAATGGATCCAAAACATAATTTTTACTTATTTGTTAATAATTATAAACATCTGTCTCATTTTTTCGAAAAATTTCTACTAGCTTCTGTACAGTACAATATTCGAGAAAATGCTCCGGCACGTCAATTCATATTTTTATATAATTTCATTTTTTAATCGCTGCAAAGGGTATCTACACCTTTAAGTATTTTAACATAACAACAAGGGTCGATTATTATCTCGTTTGAAAGGGGTTTTGATTTTCTATTTTCATTCTCTATTCAACGATTTAAATTTGTTTTAAATTGCTTCAATTTATATTTAAAATCAACAGGAAAAACACCACTGCGTTATAATTAATATTATTACTAAATTTTAAAATAATGAAATCCAATTAACCAACCATTTGTCATTTTAATTTAATTATCTTAAAAAAAATATCAAACATCTTAATCGTTAAACAGAGAATTAAAAACATTTAAACTGAGCTATCAATCAACCCATGTTGCATTTAATGTATCCAAGAATGTAGCTATCTCCCGCTAGGGTTGACATTTGGGATGCCATCTTTGCAATGTATGGGAAATAAAATTCGATGTGCCCCAGTATTCTCTCCAACATTTTACGGCATAGGAGTGAAGGAAGAAAGAAACACCTAACGTATATAACATGAAAAAATATATTTTAGAATTTCAAGATGATTCTGATATAGACCCCGATTATCAACCAAGTCCAATTCCTTCCGAAAAAGAATCTGTTATATCAGATACCGATGTTGTATCAGATAACGAGGTAATGTTAAAAGATACATCAAATCAACATCGATATTCAGATATACCTAATGGACCAGTTTGTGATGATTTGAAGATGACCATCTCAAAATCAAGAGGAAAAAAAGGAGATAAGAAAATTAATTTTTGCCTTTACTGTCATACAAAACAGTTAAAAATTTCTCGTCATTTAGAGACAGTGCACAAAGAAGAGGAAGATGTCAAGAAATTTTTATGTTTAGTCAAAGGAAACCCTGAAAGAAGGAAGCTTATTGGAGACATCAGAAAGAGAGGAAATTTTGTATTTAACACTGATGCAGCAATTAATGATGGTGAATTAATTGTGTCCCGTAGACCACTTAATGTGGAAAACAAAACAGGTGCAGACTTCAAGGTTTGTGCCAACTGTAAGGCATTTTTTGCTAAAAAGTCTTTAAGGACCCATTTTAATTTATGCACTGGGAAAAAGAATACAACGGAACGAATAATAATGAAACTAAGTAAAAAAGTAAGCAGTCGATTACATGCCAGGGCTTCCGAAACGGTAAAAAAATATTTGTTTCCATCTCTACGAGAGGATAACGTTGTACTGTCTATTAGATATGATGAACTTATTATAATATATGCAAACAAAATGTGTGAAAAATATAGAAACCATCGATTTCACGAAATGATTAGACAGAGAATCAGACTTTTAGGTAGATTTCTATGTTCGGTCAAAAAAATAAATAAGGATATTACTGATCTTTCTTCAATTTATGATCCAAAATACTGTGACGATACCCTCAAAGCTATAAATTTGGAAGCTCGTTTTAACAGTGTTAAGAGTATATTTGAAGCGCCAACAGTAGCCTTTAGTTTAGGAACTCTTCTTAAACAAGTTGGGAACATTTTCATAACGGAATGTATTAAAAACCATTCTTATGAAAAAAGGAAGAACGCAAAAGACTTTCTTAAACTTTTTAATCAGGAGATTAATATTAATATAAACAGAACTGTAGCTGAATCTCAGCTAACAATACAAAGACAAAAAAAAGTCGAGCTACCATCCAAAGAAGACATAAAAAAACTACATTCCTATCTTTTAAAAAGTAGAAATGAATCTATTGTTCAATTAAAAAAAAATTTTTCAAGTCACCAATGGACAACACTAGCTGAAGCAACACTTTTGGGTATCCAAGTGTTCAATAGACGACGACCTGGGGAAGTTGAAAGGATTACAATTGAAGATTTTGTTAACCACCAAACAGTAGATCCAAATTCAAATAAAGATTTATTTGAATCCTTATCCACAGAGAGTAAACATATTGCCATGAAGTATGTTAGGTTTACAATAAGAGGCAAACTGAATCGAACTGTTCCTGTTCTTCTGGATTTAAACTTATTGGAATCAATTAAATTGGTTATACAGTACAGAAAAAAAATGGGAGTTTCAGATAATAACCCGTACGTATTTGGAATAAACACAATAAACCAAAATGGTTTTAACTATTTGCGAGCTTGCAATTTGTTAAGAAGGTATTCCGAAAAATGTGGAGCTACCCATCCAGAAAGGCTACGGGGAACAACTTTAAGGAAACATATAGCCACAACATGTATTACTCTCAATTTGGAAGAGGGGGAAGTTAGTGATCTATCTAACTTTATGGGTCACAATGAAAAGATTCACAGAAATATTTATAGACAAACAATTGTACAAAGAGAGATTTTGGGAATATCTAAAATCCTAGAAGCTGCTCAGGGTGATAATATAGATAGTTCTGATGGTGAAGAATTTGAAGATCAACAAATTGAGAGTGAACCAAGTACTTCATCATCATTCCTAAAAAAACCTTCAAATTTCGAAAATGTTACAAAGAGGCGAAAAAGGAGCAGTAAGTATCTCCTACGTACAGTGCCGACTGGTTCATAAATGATGCAGTGCTGCAGAACTGCCAAAAAATGTATCTCATTTATGTTTAACAGAAATTATTTAAGACATTCTAAACTATACTTAAAATAAATGTTATTAATAATTTCATTAATTTTAATGTAATGTTTATTATTAAATAGTAGATAGTGTGTGTGCATTGCTTACCTTCAGTTGTTCTAGTGCTCTATATAGGCGTATGTTTTCAAAAAGCCAAATTAACAACTTTGTGAACAGCGAAACTTTCTTGCCCTGATCAAAATTTAAAAAGATAAATTGAAAAATTTTAAAGTAGGATTGTTCAATACATCTTTTTTATTTTTGATCAAAATACTGTTGACAGGAAAGTTTCGCTGTTAATCTTTTTGACAAGCATATATCTATCAAACCTACTAGAACAACTAAAGGAGACTATGAGCGTGGGCGGCTCAAGCGGTGTAGCGCTTACACACATTATTTAATATTTAATAATGAAATCTAAATTAAAATTAATGAGTTTATCAATAAAATCTATTTTATGTATATTTTAGAATGACTTAAAAATTTCTGTAAAACGTAGATGAGATAATTGCATATTTTTGATAGTTCTGCATCTTTACAGCACTTATGCACCTGCAGCCACTGCCTATTTATATTTATTTTTTATATTTTTGTTGCATACTAATTCATAAAAAAAATAATCAACTTGTCAGACAATATAAAATAGTTATTGATGTTAGTTGCAGTAGTACACTATTCCAAGAAACTTTGAAGAAAGTTATCTATATTAATGCTTATCAAAACAGAGCTAGTTTTGCAGACAATCTAAAGATTAGGTGGAAACATTATAACTGCGTGAAATCCCGATTATCATTAACTGTTTGCTCAATGAACAAGTCTAACGCGAGTACTTTTTGGTTTATATTGACACTATTTTTAATTTTAGCTTCACCATATGGACACGTCAATAGAAAACGTTGGACAGAATCGGAAAAACGTATAATTTATACCGAATTCGGGGAACATATGCGAAGAAGAACACTCCCATCTTTAAAGACAATTCAAAATGTAATAAAAGACAATCCGGAATTACGAAATAGAACGTCACCACAGGTGAAAACCTGGATCAGCAACCAATTTAAAAATAATAAATGATTACTTTGGAAAAGTAAGGAGAGTGGTTAAGTTACGTTTTATATTTTCTATACACGAGTTATGTTTTGGTAAATTTAATTTTTTACTCATGTATTTTAGTCCATGTATTTTTTTTTAGGAAAATTTTGATTTTTCTTGATAATAAAATGAACATACTTTTTTTATTTTAAAATATTGTTTATTAACAACAGAATATTAACTTTTTAATCTTTTGTAAACCAGCGGCGAGAGTTAAATAAAGTTCGGTACTAATAAATTTTAAAATAACGAAATCCGTTTTTTATTATATTCTTCACAGTAGTCTGTGAAGAGTATCATAGATTTACTTTTAAAAAACCAAAATTTTTAATATTCATCCAATTTTAAAAATTTTATGAAATTTCATGAAATTTTAAACAACTTTTAAAACTGTCCGTCCGTCCGATATCACGATAAGTCAGAAACGAAAAATCAATCTCTATAAGGGTACGAAGCCTATTGATTTTGAAAAAAATCTGAATTATAATGGAGGGGTAAATACTTTGAGACAGATAATAATAATAAATAATTAGAATAAAATACCTAGCTGGCAAAGCGTAATATATTCAAATTATAATCAGATTTTTAATACAAGTAGTGATCTTAGTTATTATATTGTATATTTTTCTTGGTAGTGGTAAAACCACATTATTAAAGAAACTTCGTGAAATTGCAAAATTGTAAAAAGATTATCTATTAGTAACAAAAGAAACGTGTTTTAGTACAAAAAGTTGAGGAATTTTTAAACTTGGTGTATTGACTTGAGGTCCGCAAATATAACCGACATTGAGTAAAGGCCGCACGTTGTGCCATCTCAAAAAAAAATCAGCCCCTACTATGACAATAGTACCCACTGTTAATTATTCTTTTTCCCAATTATTTTAAAAATTTATTTTAAAGGGTTTATTCATCGGCGTAGTGAGACAGAAGTATTTTTAATTATCATTTTAGTTGTTAAGAAATTAAAGTTTTTTCTAAATAAAAAATTTATTACTTTCTACTGTACTCAAGTACTTTATTGAATGACTTTATTACCTGTTAAGAATATTCAAAATTAAAGAATCTTAAGTATTTACTACTTAACTATGACAATTATTAAAAATTTACTTTAGATTTCAATTTAAGTGATCTAGTAAAACACTGTCCTGGAACTCATCTATATATAACATATTTCGAAGTCTTGGAACTAATGGATATATAACAATAATCAAAACGGTAATAAATTTTTCAAAAATGTGAGATTTTTTGTAAAGTGTACCTTATATATGGTTATATAAACCACCTAAACATATTCATAAGTAGGTGTCCCGGAACTCGTCAATGGACATATATATATATATATATATATATATATATATATATATATATATATATATATATATATATATATATATATATATTGTAATGTTTTTTTTATATTATTATTATAATTATATCATAATTCAAAACTTTTATTTATACTTACCAGAATTGCAATGTTATTGTTTTCTTTTTATTAAATATTATAATGTATATGTATTTTTTTAATTACCTTTTATTTTAACTTTTCCCGGCTAGCAAATATTATTCTCTTTCAATTAAAAAAAATACAATGTCACAATCTATAAATCTCATTAGCAGGTTCCGTTAGATTCTTGGTACGACCCTGTTCTATTCTTAATATTCTCTGAACTGTAATATGCAGTCACATAGATGGAGACACATCCATAATTAGATGAAAATAGATCTAACGTATATGCAACACAACATACTTTATTGTATATTCTTCGTTTCAAAACAATCAATGTCTTTTTTTACACTAAATTAACTACTAAATTACACATCCATCCTTCATCTTTCATTCATCTAATTAAAATACTTATTAATTCTCAATCACAAAAAAAAATAATATTCAATTTAGTTACGAACTTGATTATTTATGTGTCAACTCATAACCTAACATTTTACTACAAATTGATGTATTATGTATTTTTTTTTTTTGTGATTAACATAGAAAAAGAAAAATTGTTATACAACTAAAACACAAGACTTCAGTACGTTACACAGGCAAGTAAGTACTTTTAATAATTTTAATACCTTTTTATTCTCAGAACATGTCTGTCCGTGAACTGATAATTGTTTTTTTTCTTTTCTTCTAGGGACACCAAAATTGAATACCTTCGAGAGAAAATGATTGTTTGCTGTTCCTCCAGGTCACCACAGGTCAGTAAAATAGCTTGAATCTCCAATTTTCTGCTGCTTGCAGTCCTTGTTTAATGTAGATTTTTTTTTAAGTACAATTTTTTGTCACTGTTGACTGTTTATTATAAATTGTTCACCTTCAGTTATTAACTGGTAATTATTTGACTTACATTATTACAACTTTTGCCTTTTTATCACTATTTTCATGTAATTTTTAATTGTCTGCCTTTTTTTTTTAACCCCAAAATTCAACATGTCCTCCCTACTTGTTTATTTTTTTCTCCACTCATTTGTTTCTTCTTTCTTTTTTAGATCTTATTAAAATTCAAACTAGAAAACAAGGTGTTGTTTGGCCAATGGATTTAAATTTATATAAAGGTTAGTTTATTTAATTATGATAGGCTATTATAAAATTTTAAAAGTATTTTTCCCAAATTGTGTTATTACAATTAAAATAACAGATAATGTGTTAGTAATTATTGAAATTCAATTAATTTAGTTTTTATTCATCATACTTTATGAGATTTTGTTTAATACTTATTCTTTATCAAATTTTTTTAGATGAAACACGGTTCGAAATATGGCTTCGAGGATACTACCTACCAAAAATGGAACGGAAACTCACCAAGATACTGTACGTACCACAAAATTATGGACTGAACAAGTTAATTGTATTATTTTGAAAATTAAGAAAATATTTGCTAGGTAAGTTTTAATTTCCTTAGCTACGTTTTCAGATAGATCATTTTGAACAAAAATTATTTCATGACAATATATATATATATATATATATATATTATTTTCTTAATAATAATTAAACAAGTACATTTATTATCTACAAAGTTATTTTTACGGAAGAAACTATATAATTAAGTTCACATATTTATTTGTTTACAGTACGCTACAGATACATGAAGTTCTAAATGGTACATTTAAAATATCAATTAAGATAAATAAGAAATTAATAAAATGAATAGTGTAATGAAAGTTGACGCTTAAAAAAAACCTATTAAAATTTCATAATATGAAAAATACTTATTGTAATTGGACATCAGTTGGTCTACAAATAAATTCTGTCCATAGTTAGTTTTATGAGCATTTACATAAAATAGTTTCATCTGCATAGTAAGTCTGGCAGGAACAAAGAATCTACTAAAATGTATCAGACCGTCACTATCAATCAAACCGTTCAATAACTTATAGAGGAAAACAAGCGATGCTTCTCGACGTCTGCATTCCAAACTCTTATAGGGTCCCTCTCAAAAATAACACCAAGATCATTTATAGTTTGCTCAACACTTAGTTCAGAACCTGCAATGACATAATCATGCATAATGATATATGTTGTTTTATTAAACCTTATGAGTTTAAGCAAGTTATATCGTATTAAAACTATGATTAGTACCAGTTGTAGGCAAATATCTTTTTTTAGCATCTCGTACAACTGCCATCTTAATAAAAATCTAGTGACTTTTGAAATATACCTTATATAAATACATTTTTTACTACTTTCGTACAATCGTTCACCATTTTAGCTACTAGTGAACCTTTGCAATATAGGTACCTTATTATACTCTTTCGTGCAAGCGTTCAGTGTTTATAAACTCTACGAGATGTGCTATAAAAGTCTTGCCGTTGCGGACATTCGGAGGTTGCATGGATATTAGAGTTGCATTAAAATTACATCGCATGCGAGCTTAAAGAGCCTAAAATTGCAGCTTATTAACGTAGATGGGATGTTTTTGTGCTAGCTGGGCCAATGCTTCCACTCGCTTGCAGCGTTTGGACTTTGCAAGTCGAAGTCCGGTGGTAACTTTACGAGTCCACTCATTGCCATTTCTTACAACAAAGCGTTTTCCTAGCTGTAGATTTAGCACCGCTCGTGTAAGTTAGGTTAAGTTAGATTAAATTTTCTGTATATTTCTTTTGGGTAGCGGATTTCGTCTATATTGGCTGCGCCATGTTTAATATGATATATTTTAGATATAATTAATCATTAAAACACTTTGATGTTTAACGATTTATTCGGATTGTAACATAACATTAGATACAACTTACAAATACAGAACACCATAGCCCTGTTCTGCAATTACATCTGGAGCGATCAGATCGATCCGTATCGTTTGTTTATTACATCTAGATGTAGGGGAAGTGAATCTCGACCTTAGATTAGGTAATAGAGGGGATACCGCGTACTGCTTTATCCCTACGCTTGTCGACTGTTACCAACTCACAACAGCGGCCATTTTATATGTGACAGACAAAGCGAATAGAAGGTGTATTTATTTTGTGAATTTATAAGTGAAAAAAGTGAATTAGTGAGTCACTTTTGAACTCTTTATAATGGTGAATTGTTCTGCATACGGATGCCCAAGTCGCAGCGAGAAAAAGGAGCCAGGAGTTTCATTTCACAGGTAAAAAATACAATGGTGAACAATAAGTTTACTTATAATTTGTTTGTTTTTTTCGTAATTAGCAGTAATCTCTGAAATATTCTGTTTTTGCATGTAATATAGTCACTAATTCGCCTAATAAGAGTTTTTTAATGAAATATTTTAATCATTTTCATTTATTATTAGCATAATAAACATATTTTCGTTGGTTAAAATGATAGTTGTACGAGGCGTAGGCAATTTATATTTAATTTTTTCCAAAACTGTGTTAAAACATATTTTAGTAGATTTTTGGGTTAGAATCGAAAGCAGTAATTCTCACCTAGGTATATATTATGATTATTTTATTTTGTTTACAGTTTTCCTAAAGATTTGGAAAAACAGAAACTTTGGCTAGAAAATATGAAAATTAAGGAATGGGAGCCATCTAAAACTGACAGGCTGTGTTCAAAACACTTTGAAGGATGTTGGTTTTATAAAACTGATTCTAATTCAAGAGTTCGTTTGCTCAATCAAGCTGTTCCAACAGTTTTTCCTCAGTTACCAAAGTACCTGCAACCTAAGAAGGTATATATTTAATTGTTTTTGTATTTTAATAATCCTTTATATTTGTTGTGCTTATTTTAACATATTGTACTAGTACTAGTATTCTTGTACTAGTTTAATTCTCTTGCAATATTTTTCTTTTCTATCAAATTAAACAACTTTATTTTAAATTAGTTATCTATTCGTTACAAATTTGTAACAGAATCTAACACTAAAGCAGCTCTAATTGCGTCAGATTCTTTATCTGTTTTAAAATCGGCTGTAGCTCTGGATATTCCAAATTTTAATTCTAATCCATACATTTTCTTGATCAAAAAGGCATTGTTCCAACTAATTAATACTAGAGAGTTATTGCAAGTTCACTTAAGGTCAGTCACTATTAGTGCCGCTCTTATTTTGACATCTAAGCATGCGTAGATCACTAACTTTAACAAAGATTGTGTCTGTCCTTAAAAGAGAGTTATTGCAAGTTCACTTAGGGTCAGTCACTATTAGAGCCGCTCTTATTTTGACATCTAAGCATGCGCAGATGTTTATGTTCTAAAACTGACTTTATTAAGGATTGTGCCTGTCCTTAATTGTGGATGTTTAAGGGCAGCAGGTAGTGGCGACTTTATAGCTTTCGAATGCGCTCGTCATTTAAACCTTCTAAAATTATAATTTATAATGTCTCTTTAATATTAGGTACTATTATAGAATTTATTTGACTCTAATTACGATGTCACTATTAGTGGCTGGCTTTATAAAAATTTGCAATATCTCTCTATTAAGGATAGGCGCAATCTTTATTAAAGTTAGTGATCTGCGCATGCTCAGATGTCAAAATAAGAGCGGCACTAATAGTGACTGACCTTAAGTGAACTTGCAATAACTCTCTAATAACGTAAAGATATGCTTTATATGGGTAAAGGTTCATATTGGGCTTAAACACAATGAATATGTTGATATGCTAGCAAAATCTGCAATAAAAAAAGGAACCAACACCATTCATAACATCTGTAGCCCAGATATTGTCGCCTTGATAAAATCCAACAATATGAGAAAATGGAGGCATGATTGGTCACAATTCTGTTGCGCTTATTCGAATCAGTACACTAAAATACAAAGACATATTCCAAACTCACCCTGGTTTAAAAATCATATAATTCCGAGACACTACATTACATCTTTAATTAGAACCAGATTTGGTCATGGCAGTTATCCCAAACACTTGTTTAAAATTAATGTAGAAGAAGATGAAAATTGCGAGTTTTGTGAAACAACCGGAGACCTTAATCACGTTTTCTTCGAATGCAAGAAATACTCAGTATATTCAAACACGCTTTATATGAATCGTATAAAAAATAACATTCCATCCCCCTTAAATATTGAAACAACTTTAACACATTTTTCTGATGATATTATCAACTGCCTCTTACAATTTCTGAAAGACACCAAGATTCGTCTATAATTGGTATCTTAATCTTGTTTCCTCTGTATTTTACCTATTTGTTTACCCTCTTACCGAGGCCTAATTTTGTTTGTCTATTAAAAAAAACGTCCTGATGGGTCCCTGGACGAGAAGCGAGTGTCCCCGTCCTATATTGTTTATTGTTTTTCTTCTTCTTTCACCTCTTGCTGTTAGGAAATATTCTTGGGTAGTTCTAATTATGGACGAATCTGTGTCTGGCTGAATGGCAATGTGCCTATGCCAAAAAAAAAACTCTATTCGTTAGATTGTAAAATAACATATTATCTGCCACAATCTGCTTAGATATTATTATTTATTTTAAAACATAAATATTTATATTAAAAATGTTATTTCTAGACAAGAAAGAGAAAACGAGTCAGCAGTACTGATCGTGCATAACCTGGGCCTTAGACATGCTTAACCCATAGATTAAGGATTAAGAAAACAACTTTTACGGGAGGTTTTAAAAAATCGAGAAAAGACTAAAAAAATTAGAGTCCTAAGCCAGTCATTAAAAAGATATAAAAGAAAGATAGTTTCTCTTAAGCAATTAGTACTTACTTAAAAAAAAAATATCATAGACAATGAAAAAGCCATGCTTTTAGAAAATATGACTAGTGTAAATAAACAATTACTTCAAAGAAAACTAACAAATAGAAATAAATATTCTCCTGAATTACGTAAGTTTGCAATGACATTGAATTTTTTTTCAACCAAGGCTTATGAATATGTCAGAACTGTATTTGATACATGTTTACCACATAAAAGTAGCATAGGAAAATGGTTACAAACTGTTAACGCTGCGCCAGGTCACAAGTGAAGCTTTTGAAACTTTGCGTAAGCATGTAGAAAATTTAGAAAACAAATCATTATTGTGTTCTCTTATTATTGCCGAGATGTCTGTTAGAAAGAAAACATTTAGAATGGGATGGTAAAACTTTTCATGGGTACGTTAATCTTGGGGTCCACTTAAATGATGACTCTAATAAATTAGCCAAAGAGGTTTTTGTTTTATTAATCGTTTCAATTAATGGTACTTGGAAAACTCCCAGTAGGCTATTTTTTGTCCAATGGTTTAAATGGAGAACAAACAGTGTTGCCAACCCTATTACGTTCGTAATAGATCTATTACTATTTGGGACGATCTATTACGCTATTACGTTTTTTTCAATTTTCATGAAAATCTATTACTATTGTTCAATATTGCAATTAATAGTTTATATTCTCTGCTACAATACAATCAACAGGTAGTAAGAAAGATTTTTTTCAATGTTCAATACTCAGTTGGAGTATCCTTCTTCCATGGTTAGAGTATTCCGTTTGTTGTTGCAAATTTGTTCTGTGCGATTATGTGCATGTGACGTGAATGTCAAAATTGTCAAATGTCTATTGGTAAAAAGTTAAACAAGACGAGATTTGTTTGGTTTAAAAATTTTAAATATTTTTTAAGTTGAATTTTTCTTCAATATCATCTGTTATTTGTGGAAAAGTGGAATAATGAACAGGTAATGCAATAATTTTAATGTTATTAAATAAATATTAACTTTGATTATGCATTTTAGATTTCTGCAGAAGCAAAATATAGAAGGTACAGATGGTACAGAGGACCTATATCGGAGTTATCGGATTTATCGGATTCTGCAGAAGATGACAAGACTGGATCCAGTAGTAATGCCCAGTATGTAAAATCTAAAAAAACTTACAAACAAAAATATCGAAAGGGTTATGGAACACAGTTTAATTGGCTAATTTCAACCCAAAACAAAGAACTATTTTGCAATGCTTGCAATATTATTATTAATGGTGGTATTACTCATGTCAAAAGACATAGTAATACATTAAAACATAAAAAAAAATTAAAGGCTTCTAGTAGAACACCTAAAATAATAGACATTTTTGAAAATTCTGAGTCTGCCAAATTATCGACAAAAGTTAGGGAAGCTGACATTCTAATGGTGTTACTAATTGCAGAACACAACCTACCGTTTTCTTTTTTGGACCATTTGGGAAAAATTGTTAAGACAGCTTTTCCTGACTCGCAGATTGCCAAAATGATGCAAATTGGAAGAACTAAAGGTACATTATTATGTAAACAAATTCTTTCTAATGAACAAAAAACTATTGTACAAAATATAGTAAGGGATTCTTTCTTCTCTTTAATTGTAGATGAGACTACAGATGTAAGCATAAAAGCTAGTCTTGCAATAGTTATAAGATATTTTGACTCCGATTGTAAAAAAGTGAGGGAATGCTTTTTAGGGTTAATTGGAGTTGAAAATAAAAGTGCTGAGGGAATTTTTAATTCAATTATAATATTTTTAAATTCAAATAAAATTAATATAAAAAACCTTGTAGGTTTGGCAGCCGACAATACAAATGTAATGATGGGGGATAAATCTGGATTGAAAGCCAGATTTAAAGAGTTGGTTCCAAACATTTTCATTTTTGGCTGTATATGTCACTCATTTAGTTTATGCTCTTCAGCAGCGTGTGAAAAACTGCCTACTGCTGTAGAGAAATTAGCTAGAGATATATGCAACTATTTTAAAAACAGCTCTGTAAGATTAAATCATTTAAAAGAGTGTCAAGTTTTTTTAAATATAAAACCGCACAAAATTTTAAAATTATGCCAAACAAGATGGCTTTCACTACAGTCTGTAGTTAATAGAATAGTGGAACAATATGATCCACTAATTTTATTTTTCACTAATGAATCTTTTAAAAGATTTAAAGAGGACAACCCAGATCATATATTAGCTGCTTTAAAAAACCCCATTTATAAAATGTATTTCCTATTTTTAAGTTATACATTAGAGCTTGTAAATAATTTGAATTTGGAATTTCAATCAAATTCATTAAAACTACATAAACTATTGGAACATATTTCCACTGTTTACAAAACTTTTGCAGCAAATTTCATAGTTAGACATAAAGTTGTTAAAAATGTTACAGAAATTCCTATAAATAATCCCGACTATTATTTACCACTAGAAAACATTTATCTTGGCCCTAAATGTGAGATGTATATTGTTAATAATAATATACCTTTGAAAGATTTAAATATTCTCAGAACACATTGTTTACATTTTTATGTAGAATTATTGAGACAAATAAAATCTAGAGTGCCTTTTGATGATGAAGTTTTAAATTATATTAAAGTATTAGATCCTGTTAATGTTTACAATAATAAGTTTGATACCTTGATACCAATTCTAAATCGTTTTCCTATGCTGACCACTGATTTTGAACTAACTGAGAATGAGTGGAGATTATTAAAGCAATGTGAAGAAATAAAAATTAAATCTGATGAGCCACCTATACAATTTTGGAACCATGTTTTTAAAATCAAATCGGAGCTAAATGTTTTGTTTCCAAATTTAAAAATATTTATATATGGTTTAATGGCATTGCCACATTCATCTGCAGCAGCAGAAAGAGTATTTTCTCAATTAAATCTCATTAAAACTAAAACTAGAAATAAATTGTCTCTAGATTCTTGTGATGCCCTTTTGAGAACAAAGGAATTATTAAATGATCACTGTTGCTTTGAATTTAAGTGCAATTTGTCATTATTGCAGAGAAAAATAAATTATAATAAGGAAGATTCTGATGATGAACTAACCTTTTAATGAAATTTATAAAAAAATGTTTTCTATTTTTAAGTACCTATGTAAATGTTGTAATAAGGAAGATTCTGATAATGAATTAACCTTTTAATGAATTATATAAATGTTTTCTATTTTTTAGTATGTAAATATTTGCTAAGACTTGTCTCACTACTTAAAAAGTACCTTTGCAGTTCTGGTTTTTTAATACACTCTACCTAGAAGTGTACCTTTCAAGTTGCGAGTGAAGTCTAGTTATAGGTTTTTAGATTTAAGAGTTTTGATTTTTTTTCTGTTCCTTTTATGGGCAATGTCCTTCGGGACAATTCACCCAAGAGATTTGATTTTCATGTCATTCATGTTATTTTTTGAATAAAATAAAATATTAATAAGTGTTTCTTCATTTTTTATTTAAGACCATGATAATGGCCTCGACTTCCAGAAGGTATTTAGTAGAAAGAATAATTTAATGAAATAAATAATGTCTCAAATACAAGTGCGAGAGAGACAAAAAAATCTGTTACTATTTATGCATTATCTATTACGTTTTTTACAACTAATCTATTAAGAAAAATTTTCACCTGCTGGCAACACTGAGAACAAAAAAGTTATATAATCGAACAATACATTGTATTGGTAGAAAATACTGGTGCACGTGTGGTATCTCTTACCTGTAATGGAGCTCCATCAAATATAAGTATGAGTAATATACTCGGCTGCTCATTCCAGTTTTCTAATGTGCAAACTAAACTTAACATTGTGAATAAAAAATGTAATATGTACTTTCTTCTTGATCCTCGTCATATGACTAAATTGTAAAATTGCAAGAAAATGCGGGTTTGCATCTTGGTAATAAATTGCGTAAGGCACATGTCAAATTCTTTAAAGAGAAAATGAAGGTAAATATATTAAAACTTGAGGAATTTAAGGGGTGTGGGGGCACTGTACGTTTTTTAAAAATATTTAATTATATATTTGACATATTAAATAGCAGATCGTTAATACGGGTTTAAAAAAGCAATATGTCAAAAAAATATAGAAAAAACTTGTGAGTTTATTAATTTTGCTATTGATTGCATATCAAAATTAACTTTATTTTATGGGGAGCTAATTATTAATTCAAAAAAAAAACTGTTTTTTTAGGTATTATTGTTTGTTTAAGAAGCGCAATACATTTATATAATGACTCAGTAAAGGAGCAAAATGTATTACTGTATCTTCCTTTATATAAAATAAGTCAAGATCATCTCGAATAATTTTTTTTTCATCCGTTAGATCAAAAGGTGGATGGAATAACAACCCAACAGCTCTCCAGTTTATGGGATCTTATAAACGACTGTTGGTAAGAGGTGAAGTAAGGGAGGATGGTGTGGGAAATTGTATTCCATTGAACCAAATACCAGTATTAGTAACATCAACAGAATTAAATATGTTAAACCAGAAGAATGCATAAATTTTACAACGCCTGGTATTAATTATCTAATTTCAGATGAAAAAGTAGATATAATCTATACAATTTTGGAAGATCACGATTACATTATTAATGATGTTATGTCTGAGTGCTCATCCCAGATTGTTACATATATTGCAGGTTTTGTGGACCACATGCGAGATTTGGATAGTCGCCTAATGCCCATCACCAGAAAATAATTGATTTGGCGGAGCTCTTAAAAATTCCACATAGATTCAATAAGGAAAAAAATACTGCTGGAAAAGACTTATTATACATTTCTTAAACGTCATCCTGAGCTTTCTTTAAGAACTTCCGAGTCAACGAGTTTACAGAGAGCAGTAGGATTCAATCGACCACAAGTTACAAGATTTTTTAACAAACTTGAAGAACTAATGCGAAAACATAACTTTGGGGCCAATAAAATTTACAACGCTGACGAAACTGGTGTGTCTACAGTCCACGTGTGTCGGCAGAAAGTCGTCTCAATAAAGGGAAAAAAACAAGTTGGTAAAATGACTTCTAGTGAAAGGGGTCGCACTATAACTGTATTATTATGTATCAATGCGACAGGAAATCAATTCATACCTCCACTATTCATTTTTCCCAGAAAAAAAATTATTGAGCGACTGAAAATTGGCGCTCCGGAAAATTCTATGTTCCATGCACAGGACTTTGGCTGGATGAACGGTGAAATTTTTTTAAAATGGATGCAGGAGTTTGTAAAAATCACACGTGCATCTGAAGAGGAGCCAGTACTTCTAATTGTCGATGGACATTGCAGCCATAAAGATTTAAAAGTCATCAACTTTGCCCGCAAAAACCATATCCATATGTTAAGCTTACCCCCTCATTGCACCCATAAGTTGTAACCTTTGGATGTGTGTGTAATGAAGCCATTCAAGGATGCCTACAATGAAGCAGCATCTCGCTGGATGAGACAAAATCCCTTTATGAGAATTACTGATTATGAAATCGCAGGTGTGGTGAACGAGGCGTTTACGAAAATTTGCAGGGTGGACTTATCTAAGAGAGGTTTTGAGTGTAGCGGCATTTATCCATTGAATTCACAGATTTTTACAGACTTGGATTTTATTGCATCGGAAGGACTAGACGTCCCAGAACCAAGGGAAACTCATGCTTTAACACCCACTGTTGATGGTAGTTGTAATGAGAAAGAAAACGTGCCAATAAAATCACTAGAATACCTACAAATACCTACGTTACCAAAAACGCCGCCAAAGCTCAACGAACAAGAACTTCCTGGTACATCTGAAATGAAAACTCCATGTAAAAAAGTCGTAAACATCTGCACATTAAATTAAACTTACCAACCTTCAACTAGCCAAATCAACCCGCCGTGTTCTGAACAAACAAATCCAACCAAAGGCAGGAGAAAATATGCCGAAAAAAATATTATTGATCCGAATACAATTTTAGGAAAAAGTGTTAGTGATCTTCTAGAAGAAATTTCTCCAATCCCCAATGCTGCTGAACATAGAATGGTTTCAAGAAAAAGACGTGCTGAAAAAGGTGAAGTGCTTACTTCCACTCCATTTAAAAATGAGTTGGAAGAGGAAAATAAAAACAAGGCTAATAAGGCAAAGAAAAATTTAAGTGAAACCAGGTGCACAAGAACAGAAGAAACAAAAAGCACATAAAGAGAAGACTAAAGAAACCCAAAAAACTTATTGTCTCATTTGTCATGAAAGTTTCGACGAAGACTGGATCCAGTGTTGTGAATGTAAAAACTGGGTCCATGAGGCTTGTTCTGATGTGGAAAAAGGTCAAATGTATTACAGGTGTGTTAACTGTTAACATTTTTGTTTTGTGCTGCAATAACAGCAACTTTTTTTCGTGTCCGGTATTACCCGCCAATTTTTCAGAATTCAAATATGTTTAATTATCTTTGTTCAAAGAATTTGTATTTATTTTTAAATATTTATGTTTTTTGGTTTTTTTAGACATGTAATATACATGTAAAATAATCGTTTGAATATAATTTTGTTGGACAACTTTGTTAATAAAAGTATGTTTTGCAATGATTTGTTATCATGTCCGATGCTACCCGACTTTCCCCTAATAGGAAACCATGCAAATTTTTTAAATTCACTAATTTCGCAGAAAACTCATATCGGACTTACATATCCATCTGTTGATGTAATTAAAATTTGTAACAAATCTAAACGCTATTTACGCATGTATACAAATGATTTACATAAAACAAATTTTGTACTAATGTTATGCAATAAAATTATATCTGAATGCGTTAACTGTAAGTTATTTCAAGATTTGGAATATCATGTACTAGAAAGCCCAGTAAATCACATATATTTTTTAATAAAATCTATTTGTGTGAAGTACATTAATGTTCGGGTACATTTTATAATAAAAATACGGTCCCAAAAATTAGATCCTTTTCGAAACCAATTGACAAAACTTATTCATTTTAAAGGCCAATAAAATGTATATATTTACAGGTATTATATTTTTGGTAGGTCTCTAAAATATTTGTTGTTTAATATTTGTGTTCATTTTCTATTGTTTTTTTTTTTTACTAATAATATTAAATATATATATATATATATATATAACTATGTTGTATTTTATTTTCCATTGAATTCCTACCTGCATAAAATGTAAACAATTGTTTCGAAAAAATATATTACATCCTTTATGACACGCCACTGAGTCTATCGGCGATGTGGCAAGCGGTAACAATTTTACGAGGGGATAAAGTTCGCACTCCACCCAGTCGTCGCGCCACCTATAGTAAATTTAGATACTAATAATGTCAATGTCAGTTTCGAAAAATTAACCTTACTTTTTGACATTGCGTTTTGTAAGTTATTTTTAACGTGTTTTATCGAGCGAATTGGATATTTCTAACTGTAATTTTTTGATACTGAAATTTTTATTTAATAGAAATGGCGGTCATGTGTGATATATGTGAAAAAATATTTAACAGGCAACAAAACCTGAATAGACATAAACTTTTAGTGCACAAAATCCAGGAAAAAGATATTTTAGCTTACTCCTACGATTCTTTCATTAGCAAGTGTTTGGAAGGTTGTCAAATATCATTTAAATTTGTGGATGACTTGAGAAATCATTTAGAAATTAAACATAATTTCGAGATGCTACGTGAAGAGCTAACATTTAGTTCCGAAAACAAATTTAAAACCTTTTTCTCCAACTTGGTTAAAACGGAAAATGCACAGTTTACTCAATCACATGGAGCTAAATTTATAAAAATAGACAACGTTTCTTACGAGAAAAAATATTACAACTTTAATAGAAGTGGTGTAAGTAAGAACCTTTCATTAGCAAGTAGAAAGAGAGCAATTAAAACCCAAGGAAATTGTAAAATTAACATATCGTGTACTAGTCAGCTAATAGTCACAAAGTGTGTTAAAACTGACAATCATAATGTAGTTTTTTTCAAAACACATTATGGCCATAATTTGCAACTGGAACACCTACGTATGTCCATAGAAGACAGAAATAATATAGCTGTTAAACTCGCAGCAGGAGTGCCAGCTACAAGACTTTTGGATTCATACCGAAATAATAT